CTGCCCCCCTCCCCTCCCCTTCCCCCTCCCACCTGTAATTACTTCGTGGTCTCGACCCCTCCTGATGCCCCCTTCCCCCTCCCCCTACTCCCTTCGCCCCCTCCCCCCCCCTCCCAGATCTTCTAGGATGACCTGCCCGCACCTGATCTCAAGCTGCTCTTAAAAAGGGAAAAAATGTATAATCACAACGCTTTTTAATTTATTTTTACTTTTCTCTCGCTTTATTCGGCGTGAAAAGGGGGAGAGGAGGGAGGGGAGGTTGAAATGAGGATGGAGATGAGAGATAAGATGAGAGGCGGAGTATCCTACCCGGGGCCAGGAAGAAGGTGATTTACTCCTCCTCCTCCTCCTCCCCCCATCCCCCCCTCCTCTTCACCCTACCCCCCACCCTTAGAAACTAGAGCAGGTCACAGGTTCACGGGAAAGCCTACCCAACACTGCGTCCTTTGTCCACAGTGTCGCATTCCCCTTCCTCCCTCCTCCCGCTACCCCTCCCTTCCCTCCTCCCACACTCCTTTCTTTCCTTCTTCCCTCCTCCCCTCCCTTACCCTCTGCTTCTTCTTCCCCTCCCTACCTCCTACACTCCTTTCTTTCCTTCTTCCCTTCGCCCACACTCCTTCCCCTTCCTCCCCTCCCACACTCCATTCCTTCCCTTCTTCCCCTCCGCTCACACTCCCTTCCCCCTTCCCTCCCCTCCCACACTCCTTTCCTTCCCTTCTCCCTCCTCCACACTCCTTCCCTCCCCTTCCCTCACCTTCCCTCCCCTCGCTGTTCTTTAGCCCACGGACATAACACAAGCCATGAGTACCGGGAAATGCCCGAGTTTGTTTATGTTAACTCTCGAAACAAGTGTTCACGTGCAGCGCGGGGGGGGGGGGGGAAAGTTTTGGGTAGACTTAATTTGCATTTTTTTTCTTTGAGAGAGAGAGAGAAGAGAGAGAGAGAGAGAGAGAGAGAGAGAGAGAGAGAGAGAGAGAGAGAGAGAGAGAGAGAGAGAGAGAGAGAGAGAGAGAGAGACGGTGAAACAGGAATGGGGAAGAGACACAATCTACTTCCGCATACCTCTACCAAAGCGCAGATTGGTAACCATAAACCGCCTATACAAAGACCATCCCCATTCCTCCCCCTCCCCCTCCCCCCCCGCCCCTCCCTCAAGCAGACACCCTCGACTGCCCTAGTTCTGCTGACTAATCCACAGGGACACTAACGTACTCGGGTCCTGTTGTGTTGTGACAAAAACCACAACCACATAACAGTTACACGACAGGAATCTCTGTGTTACATGCATAGGGACGTGAGCGTGTGACTTTTCTATGCCATGGGGGTATGGGGAGGGGGGGGGAGGAGGGAGAAGGCGAGAGGTTAAGGAAAAAATGAGAAAGGAAGGAGAGGAAAAAGGGGTATGAGATGAGAAATGGAGATAAAAAAAGAATAGAAAAGACAACAGAGGAGAGAAGAGATCAGATTAAAAGAGCAAAACAATACAACAAAACAGAACAGAACAGAAGACACGAAACGATAAAAAATACAAAAACCCAAACCGAAAACATAAAAAAACAGGAAAAAAATCCCCCAAAAAGAAAAGAAGGAAAGAATAAAAGACAGAGAGGGAGAGAGAGAGAGAGAGAGAGAGAGAGACCTCCTCCCTCCTACCTCTTGTTTTAAGAGAATAATAATAATATGATGTCTGACGCACAAGGCTGCATGTGTTAAGACCTCCTGAAGCCCCGGGGAAACTGCCAGCACATACACCCTGTTACACAACCTTACCGCCCTAGCCTTAATTTCGTCTGACATGAGAAGTGACAGGTGGGCTATTTCAGGTGAGTAATCCTTCGCGCTCGAGGACGTACATATACGTAAGGACACGCATACTTACATACACGCATGCAAACGTACATACAAAGAGGTAGGTAGAGGTAAAGAATGATGAATATATCTATATAGTGAGTGATAAGAGATAAGAGATTTTCAAATACATATATATCAAGATAGATAGAGGTAAAAAAAAACTGACCGACAACTCGAGAGAAACAGAAAGACGAAAAGAAAGGAAGAAAGAAAAACAAACCAGAGCTCTAAACGGCATGACAAGGAGGAAGGGAAGAGAGGGAAGAGCGGGGAGGAGGGAAGGGAGGGCAAGGGAGGGAGTTGGGGGGGGTGGGAGACTACCTGTCCCATCCGCCCTACTTTAACTTCCAGAACGACACCCACGCTCGCCGCACCTCCGTTGGCCTGCATGCTCGTTAAGCGCCGGGCGAGTCGCTTTTTATGGAGTTGTGTGAGTGTGAGAAGTGTGAGGGAGTATTTGTATGTGAGTGTGAGGGAGTGTGAGAGTTTGTTTGCGTGAGTGTGAGTGAGTATGAGTGTGTTTGTGTGAGTGTATGTTGGTATGTGTTTGCGTGCGTGCGAAGGCGCTGCGGAAATACACGAACAAACAGAGGGAGAGAAGAAAGGGGAAGAAAGAGGAGCTGGAAATGACTGGCGTGCTTCCACTGAGACCTACCCTTGAACACACGCAAGGCGCACTCAAAACCACTGCGCCGTAATACACTTCAGTCTAGAGCCGAGAGAGAGAGAGAGAGAGAAGAGAGAGAAGAGAGAGAGAGAGAGAGAGAGAGAGAGAGAGAGAGAGAGAGAGAGAGAGAGAGAGAGAGAGAGAGAGAGAGAGAGAGACCTCATTCAACGGTACTCGGGCCATCCCAACAGCAGCCCTATGACCCAGTGCAATACGGACCGTATTCGGAAACCCACGTACTCAAAGCCTGCTCTCCTCCCCCCTCCCTCTCCCCCCTCCTTCCTTTCCTCTCGACCCCTCCCCTACTCATCTCTTTTCTTCCCTCCCTCCCTCCCTCCCTCCTTCCCTCCCTCTCCTCCCTTCTCAAACACCTCCTCCTCTCCATCCCATCCCTCCTTCCCTTCCCATCCCATCCCTCCTTCCCTTCCCTTCCCTTCCCATCCCATCCCATCCCATCCCTCCCTTCCCTCCCTCGCCTCCCTCCCGTCCCGCAGCACTTATCCTGGCTGACCTAGATTTTAAAAGGTCTAGTTCCGCAATTTATAGGATTCCCGAGGAGCCGTTCCTGACCTTCCTGACCGCGCGCCCGCTCTCTGTGTCACTCCGTTGCACCGAACCGGGGAATTGGGGAAGGGGAGGGAGGATGAGGGGAATGGGAGGGAAAGAAGAGGGGAATAGAGGGAAGGGGAGGGGAAAGAGAGGGAATGGAGGGAAGGAGGGGGAAGGTAAGGGAAAGGCTATAAATTATCCTTATCTTATCCTTATCAGATGGATAAAAAGCGAAGTAAAAAGGCAAATAGATGCATAGTTAAGGATATATATATGCATACATACATACATATATATATATATATATATATATATATATATATATATATATATATATATATATATATATATATATATACACACACACACACACACATATATATATATAGATAGAGAGATAGGAGAGAGAGAGAGAGAGAGAGAGAGAGAGAGAGAGAGAGAGAGAGAGAGAGAGAGAGAGAGAGAGAGAGAGAGAGAGAGAGAGAGAGAGAGAGAAAATCACTAAATCCTCACAGATCTCGCACCCATCCAAGACCTCGAGCAAACAAACAAACAAACGAGAAACACCCCCCCCCACCTCCCCCTTTCCTTCCTGTTTCCTTCATGAAAACAGAACCCCTCACCCCTTCCTCCTCCCCTCCTCCCCCCAACCCCAACCCAACACACGCCCCATACAGGAAAACGACGCCACATCTTAAAAGTAAAAATAAGGCTATGTGGCTGGATGTGGTAACACTGTTTTGGCACCGCAGCGATTCCGGCAGCGGAGGCAAAGTGGCACAAGGTCATATAGTCAGGCCCACGCGCTTCCCGCCTCTCGCGTCCACGGCGGCGGCGAGCTCCACACACCTTGCACTCACACGCACGCACACGCCCTTCTGCGCCCTCTTCGCTCTGCTCCTCGCTACGCACGCGGCTACCTACACACGCACGCAGACGTACAAACAAACATGGGTGCATTCACATACGCAGACAATATGTGTGCATTTAAACAATTCATTCAATCGAACAGAGTCGCAATCCTCGAAGGCCGTTTCGCTCCCAAGTTTGAAAACAACAATGTAAAAACAAAATACAAAAAAAAAAAAAAAAAAAAATATCTGCTGACTAATCAAAACCGCTGACGGATTAAACATTTCAAAACAGCCAAAAGACCCGAGAGGAGGAAGTGGGAGAGAGGGAGGGAGGGAGGGAGAGAGGGAAGAGAGGGCTACCCACCCCGGAACCCCTTTCCTTAAGAACATAGCAACTGTGCCAGAAGTCCTGGACACCTTCCCTTCTCCCCTATCGCTCCCCCTCTTTCCCTTTCCTCTCCCTCCCTCTCCCTCCCCCTTCCACCCCCACCCCGCGCCCCCCTCCCTCCTGACGAGACCATATAGGGCGGCGCGATGTCCTCTTTCACTTTCTAGGGAGGGGGATTAGGAGGTGCCTCTCGGGAGCGCCTCTGAAGTGCTGGAGGCGACCTCGATATCAAGGAAGGAGGGGGAGGGAGGGGTAAGGAGAAGGGGTACTATGTAAGGGGAAGGGAGAAGGGAGGGTTGAGGGGAAGGGAGAAGGGAGGGTTGAGGGGAAGGAGAAGGGGGGTTGAGGGGAAGGGGCTAGGAAGCAAGGGGACAGGAGGCAGGACCTTCAAGAATATATTCAGTCATGCATAATTCCCGGAGTGACATCCTTTGTGATGCTGCTGGAGGAAAAGGAGGAAGAAATAGCAAAATGGAACAATTCCAATCCAGAGAAGAATGAGGCAAAACAAGAGTCGAGATAAAGGGGAAAGGGCTGCAACAGATAAAACAAACAAACACACAAACAGAGCGTGTTCAATAGGATACCCGCCCTTCCTCTTCTGAATATCCTTTCCCTCTCAAGAATGCAAACTCCCTCGGCCCATCCCTCCCCCTCCCCTACTCCCCTCCCCAAAGCATGCGACACTTACGGTAGCGTCTCATCATAGCCTTCTTGTAGGCCTTGGCAGGATTCGGGTGAGGCAGCCGCTGACTATCGGAGTCGTCGGAGTCATGGGGGCTACTGGTATCACGATCCTGGTAGTCCCTGTCCTGATAGTCCCGGTCTTGGAAGTCCCGGTCCTGGTAGTCCCGATCTTGGTAGTCCTGGTAGTCCCGGTCCTGATAGTCCCGATCCTGGTAGTCCCGATCTTGGTAGTCCTGGTAGTCTGGACTCATGGACTCGCGGTAGAAGTAGGGACTCCTCGGCGGGGAAGGACAGCGGGTCCGGTTGGAGACGCTGAGGTCAAGAGGTGCCTCATCATACTCCAGGATCTCGGAGGAGGCGAGACGGGGGTTCTGCAGCACCATGGCGGTGGGGGCAGCAACTGAGGAGGGGGCACTCGATTGGCACTCGCGGTGTCACTGCACAGGAGGCAGTGGCACTCGGCACTTGTCTGCTAGCAACAAGTGAGTGTAGTGTGGCGAGGGCTCGACCACAGCCTCAAATACAACTGGCCATGGTGGCGATTCGCGACAACGACCACCGAATCGGAAGGACCACCGCAATGCACTTCAAAGAACACTCTTTCCCTTTCTGATAATTACTATTTTTCTCTCTCAACAAACCCTGGGGGAAAGACCAGAGACGTCGAGGCAAAACAATCACTTCGCTGGAAGGGAAGGGAGATTATCCCTGAGAGATCTTCACTACGCCAAAGTCTTCCTTCTTTCCCTCTTAATCTTTTTCCGATATGTGCGAGAGAAGGAAAGTAACGAGTAAAACACGAGGACGCCGTCAAACGTGGACAGAGTCCTAGCAACACACGCGAGAGAAGTGGCCGTCACAAAGCAAGTGTAAATCCCGGGTGACGGTCCTCGGGCGCGAATCCCCGAGACGCGAGTGGTGTGTGTGGCTGGCTGGCAGGTGGTGGGACAGCAGCGCGAGCACTGGGCCTCCGTTCAGCACCACGTTCACATTCACACTGACTCACTACCGCCACGCTCAGTCGCTCACCACACACACACACACCGTCCTCCGCCACCCTCCTCCTCCCCCCCCTCCCTCCGCCCTCCCCCTGGTCACCACCGCCGCTGCCGCCTCCTGGACCGTGTGTGTATGTTTGTACATTGCTGCATTCGCTTGCGTGGGCGTTTATCGAATTACGCCTTCCCTCACATGCTGGCGTGGTCTCCTACGTCATGGCTCCCACGACCAAGGTATGACGGGGGGCATCTGACAGACAGGTGCACCGTGTATGGGGATGTCTGAGAGTGAGTGAGTGAGTGTGTGTGTGTGTTTGTTTGTGTGTGCGCGCGCGTGTGTGAGTCCGTAAGTGTGCGTCTGTCTGTCTGCAAGGCCAACCAGATAGACGGGGGTGAGTATGTGCGTATGTGTGCGTACAGGACCAAGGTCGGGCCAGCACACAGCATGTTCCTCTGTACACTCCCGACCCTCAGGACCTCCGCCGCTTTCTATTGTACTCTTCTGGGCGAGGGGGAATTCCCCGCTGGGGGATGGCGAGTCCACCCACGGCACGGTGGATCAAAATTGGAAAAAAGGAGCCGGGTGGATGTGGGCGCGGAAAGCAGCGAAGCGGGAGGCGGCGTAGGAGGCGGGGAGCCCCCGAGGAGAGAAAGAAGGCGGGGAAGGGAAGGGGAAAGGGAACGGCGATGTGTAACAGGTGCGGCGTGCCCGATTCTCCTCCCCTCGGCCAGAAGGACCGCACCGGCGTACTCCTCGCCTCCCAGTTGACGATAATGATCAGCCACACGCCATGCACGACATCACCCAGGCCCTCACCTCCTCCGGCATGAATGCAGCGCCTCCTTCCCCTCCTCCTCCCTGTGTGCACTTCCTGTACACCTCATTAACCCGTCCCGCCGTCACGACCTGTTCGCCCTAGCGTAGGAGACACTGCTGCGCCGGAGAAAGGAGACGACTTCATTCAAAGCCTCATCAATGGGAGGATGGTCCTCGCTGTCGATACGACCTCTTTTGTTGTCGTCGTTAGTCGCTAGGATGCTTTAATAACCACGGTGCTGCAACTGCTCGCTCTCGTGGCAACTAGGTACACGCATAAAGCATCTTTGTACGTAAAACGACCCTTGAGGAACGCCGCCGTGGTGAGCAGCATCCGCGTCATCGCAGCATTAGCATCGGCAACGCTCCTACCTGCCAGCTATGGAAACAAGCGCTCGCAAAGGTAGCAGCGACGGCAATAACAGAAGCTCGCCGTAGTTCACAACAGCCTTTGGTCTGAATCCCAGAAGCGGCAGCGGGACTTACTGTTTCACTTTCCCGACCAAGGAGCCGTAGCAGCCGCGTCGTTAGTGTGTGTTTCCACCGAGAACAAAGGACGTGCATCAGGCCGCTCAAGAAACGCCGCCCACCGCGCCCCCAGCACAAGGCGCGCTGACTACACTCTGCGCCTCTGTGCCTTCATTTGCTTTCACACAGGCAGACGCACACATACGCTTGCATTTATTGATAGAAAAGAGAGGAGAGAGAGAGAGAGAGAGAGAGAGAGAGAGAGAGAGAGAGAGAGAGAGAGAGAGAGAGAGAGAGAGAGAGAGAGGAGAGAGAGAGAGAGAGAGAGAGAGAGAAGAGAGAGAGAGAGAGAGAGAGAGAGAGAGAGATTAGGAAGGGAAAGGGTGCGTCTCCACGGGCTCGCGTGATGTCAGTGGTCATTCCCCTCTCCTCCTCTTCCCTTTCCCCTCGAGCACCTCCCCTCTTCGCCCGCCCCATCAACCATCCTCTCCCTCGCTCCTCCCTCTTCCACCCCTTCCTTCTCCTCCTGAGAGTGATCAAGGTGTTCCACTTGAGAGTCGATCCCCACGAGGGAGAGGGGAGAGAAAGGGAGGGGAAAATGAGAGGGGAGCGAGAGGGGAGGCGGGCGGAGGGAGCCCAAGGAAAAGCAGGAAAAGAAGGGAAGGCACGTGGGGAGTGTGTGTGTGTGGTGTGTGTGTGTGTGTGTGTGTGTGTGTGTGTGTGTGTGTGTGTGTGTGTGTGTGTGTGTGTGTGTGTGTGTGTGTGTGTGTGTGTGTGTGTGTATGTGTATGTATGTGTATTTGCGAGAGCATAACAGTGTCCTACATGTACGCGCGTGCTTGAAGGAAAAGGAAGAAATAAATTGGAGTGACGCGAGAACCCCACCCTATGGAGGAGGAGGAGAAGGAGGAAAAGAAGAAGAAGAAGAAGGAAAAGAAGAGGAAAAAGAAGAAGAAGAACAAGAACTAGAACCCCACCCCTGTGGAGGAGGAGGAGGAGGAGGAGGAGGAGGAGGAGGAGGAGGAGGAGAGGAGGAGGAGGAGAAAGAAGAAGAAGAAGAAGAAGAAGAAGAAGAAGAAGAAGAGAAAAAGAAAAAGAAGAGAAGAAGAAGAAGAAGAAGAAGAAGAAGAAGAAGAAGAAGAAGAAGAAGAAGAAGAAGAAGAAGAAGAAGAAGGAGGAGGAGGGGGAGTAGAAGAAGAGAAAGAAGAAGAAAACAAGAGAACAACAAGAACAAGAAGAACGAGAACGCTGTTTACGCTGAAAGGACCCCGCTCTCCGCTGCATCATCGGAGGCGGGGCGAGCGAGCCAGCGAGCGCGTGGGAGAGCGAGCGAGCGAGCGAGCGAACGGCGCTTGGAGGAAAAATCACCGTAAATAATATTCATCCTTTTGCCTTTGTAAATGATGTAATGACACTGCAGTCGAGATGATGCTTCTCTCTCTTTTTTTTTTCTTCTTATCTAAACTTACGGTATTTATCTAGGAAAAACAAGATGCAATTTTGACATTTCTCGATTCACGATCAGGAAAATTTTAGAAGAAATGAATTTTGCAGGAGAGTTTCCTATTGCTTGGGAAAATCATGGTGATGATGATGATGATGATGGGGAGAATGCATATGGTCGTCATCAATAACAATGATGAGGATATTGGTAATGAAAATAATGATGATAATGGTGGTGGTAATGGTGATGGTGATGATGAGTAATATAATAATAATAATAATAATATAATGATAAATAATAATAATAATAATAATAATAATAATAATGATGATGATAATAATGATAATGATAATTATAATAATAATATTAATATCAATAGCAGTAATAATAATAATAATAATAATAATATGCAACAAGCGCCTGAACCAAACACTCTGCAGTTTATACTTTAACCCACCCTAACCTAACTCAAGCTCGCTCAGACACACACACACCAAATCCAAATTCCAGATCATTTTACGTTTTTTCCCCTCCCCTCTCTCTCTCTCTCTTTTTTTGCTTTCTCCTCCTCCTCCTTCTTCTTCTTCCGGGAAATGGAACTCGACCCCCCCCCACGAACAATCGGCCGCGTGGAGGAGCATCGACCAGCTTCGTCCCCGGACCTTCGGGTTTTGTGCCTCGTCCCCTCCACCCCTTCACCCCTCCCGTCCCCTATCCTGTCTCCTTCTGCCTCTCCCCCCGTCCCTATTCCTGTCTGCTTCTCCCCCCCCGTCTCCTTCTGCCCGTCCCCTACGTCCCCTATGCCCTCCCCGTCCCCTATTCTGTCTCCTTTGCCCCCCCCGTCCCCTATTCCTGTCTCCTTCGACACCTCCTCCTCTCCCCCATCTCCTATCCCTATTTCTTCAGTCCCTCCTCCTCCTATCCCCCCTTATTCTATTTCTCCCCGTCCTCTCTTCAATTCTCCCCTCTATCGCCTTCTCCCTCACCCGTCATCCCCTGCTTTCCCTCTCCCTCCCCCTCACTCCGTCTTATACCTCGCCACCCTTCTCCCTCCCCTCTCTCTCCTCCTCATCGCCTTTCCCCATTACACCCTAACTCGCCTCGCCTCCCCCTTTCCCCCCCTCTCCTCCTCTCCCTCCCCTCCCTCTTCCTCCTCCTCCTCCTTCCTATCACATCTCCCTTCGGGTACTTTAATGCTCCCCTCTTCGCTTCGCCACCTCGGTAACTAAAGGGAGGGGGGGAGGGGGAGAGGCACTGAGGGGAAACGAGGGTTGAAGTCGGCGGATTGGCGAAGGGAGGGGGGGAGGGGACAGGAGGAGGAGGGAAGGAAAGAAGAAGGAGGGGAGGAGAAGGACGTAATATGGAAGGAGGGAGGGAGGAAGGGAGGAAAGATGAAGGGGAAAGAGTAGACAAACGGCAAGGAAGAGGAATGGAAGTAGAAAAACAAAGAAGAAGGAGAACAAGACGAATAAAAGAAGGAAAGGAGAGACAATAAACAAACGACGATAGAAGAAGGAAGAGAGAGACGAAAAATAGAAAATCAAGATTGAAAGACCCCAAAACGAAAAGAAAGGAGAAAAAACACGAAAACAAAAAGGAAAAAAAGAGAATAATTACAAAAAAAAACACGAAAGAAAACAAAAACAAAAAAAACAACAACCATACTAACAAGCAGAAAATGGAGTTAGCAAGACAACAAAATAAAAGACCCAGAGGAAAGAGAGAGAGAGAAAGAACAGGGTGAAAGAGGAGAGAAAACCTTAGGAGATAATGAGCTGACACGATCAAAGGCTCAAGAAAGAGTGCGCGCGCGACACTGCAATCCGGGGAAGAGCGGGGGAAGGGGGGAGAGGGAGAGAGAGAGAGAGAGAGAGAGAGAGAGAGAGAGAGAGAGAGAGAGGAGAGAGAGAGAGAGAGAGAGAGAGAGAGAGAGAGAGAGAGAGAGAGAGAGAGAGAGAGAGAGAGGAGAGAGAGGAGAAAGAGAGAGAGAGAATAATAATGCCACAGACTACTAAAAAAAACTAGAAGCACAAAACAGAAAGAGATAGAGAATAACAAAAACGAGAAAGAACACCGAAAGGAAAGAGGGGAGAGAGAGAGCAACAGCAGAGAAGAGAAGAGATGACACGCGTAGTCGAGCGAATGAGAGGGGAAGCGAAATAAGCCACGATGACAAGGGAAATATGGAAAGAGAGGGGACCATAAAGACAATATGTTACGGGCGAGGGGAAAAGAGGGAGGAAAGGGGAGACGAGCATTCACAAAAGACGTAAAACATGCCTG